TCCAACTTTATTATCAGCAACATGATCTGTGTTTTTATATTCGGTCGTTTTGCATCTGACTTGTTTTATATGTTGTTCTTGAGATATATCTTCATCAGTCCAATGATGTGACATATGATATCGACCAATCATTAACACGCAGAAAAGTATTACACAAAACGATACTAATTGTATTGCAATTACTTCAACACGATACTTTTTGATAGCAAAAATAATGGTTGTTTCCAACAAGTTGGTGACATTAAAAGTCACACCATTGAGTACAAATGCCGAATTACCATTTCCAATTATATCAACGTTTACTCGATTTTGACATTTAGAATGATTATCGCCCATTGATACGAAATTCAATATAAGTTTCAGTAAGAAATCATAGAATTCAATACAAATGGTCCAAAAACATGTAATATCTACAAGCAGACTAAAGACATTGTACACAATGAAAGGAATTATTTGAATTGAGATAATGAGTATGAGCTAACATGAAGAAAATCGTTCAAGTTCATACACTTCATTAATATTGGATCATAGACACGATATATTCAGTATGTTCTCCCATACTTAAATTGACAAAAAATGTTTAAAAAAGCAAGAAAAATGTTGTGAGTATGTATATTTAGTATGCATTATACGCTAACAGACAATTTTTAATGAAACAAATTACAATCATATTGCTACAACTACGCATCTGAATCAGCTACACTAGTATTAAATAAAAAAAAGAAAAGAATCGAATTTTCCTTGAAATCAACTTCAGGTATTATTACCGAGATTAGTATCATTCGTAGCATTCGAGTTGTTGGCTTTTTTTGACAGTGATCCATCCTATTTAAAAGAAATTCAACAAGAATTGTTAATTAGTTAGGATACTTTTAAATCAGAAGAAATATATATTTTTCTACAAAACAGACTTTTTTAGTTGATAGTAATTGTCCAACAGGTTTCTTAATTCCATCAATTGATTCAGACTTTTTCCTCATTTTATTTACATTTCGTTTTTTTATAGCTATTTTCTTGTCTTGATTTGTTGACCAATGCGAACTTCGATATGGTTCTCTCATAGAGCTCGTTCGCTTCAAGACAAGTCTGAGTAATTTAGTTTCCATTGGACGAGGAGGCATCTGTTGATCGTATAGAAAAACGAAGCAGTTTATTACAGTCAAAGATTAATTTTATATCTATAAGAAAATAATAAAAAATATAGATTTCCATTGATTTTTTTCAAAAAGAAAAACATGGAACTATTCGTAGGAAGCAAGCTATTAGTGTCTGAATTTCATTTGAACAAAACGTTCCCACTTAACAACTGGATTCATATAATATCTTTGTGAATAAACAAAACAACATATAAAACTTTGAATTATGAGTATCGCTTAGGATGATGTTGCTCAAGAATCAATCAACATATATCTACATTCCATAGAACGTATTATTTTTCTAAAAGAACTTTTATTGTTTTCATATGAATATTATTATTCTACGTTACATTCGAGAGACTATCAAACCAGGATACGAATGGCGAAACAAGTCTTCAAAAATCTAGCACCACTTTCTATACATGTGCTTGTAATAAAACTTCATTTGTTTTTAGTATATCATGCAAGTAATTTCAAGAAAACTTCAACTTTAATCAATTGCTCATTTATTTATCAACTGTGCGTGATAAAACTTTCCCATATATCGAACAGCAACACATTCTATATTTTTACAATCAATGAGATGGTAATTATATTATCAATCTACGGTACCGATAGATTCAGATTTATTTGATATATAAGTGAGAAAAAAAGTCATATTTACAAATGAGAAATCTTGAACGAGATAAGTAAGTCCTACAATAACTAAGTTTCTTGCAAGATGAACAATTAGTTTGAGAAGATATTTTTAGAATATATTTCTCAAATACAGTATCATTTCATCATTCAGTTGATAGAGCAATCAAACATCGTTCTAGATCAACGAAGCAGTGTGAGTTTATATGTATGCATTTATATCGAAGGTAAACTATACCTAAACGGATATAATACAAGTTTACAATGTATTTACATTTTAACGACATATGCATCAACAAATGTCATCATTACGATTACATTGAGCAGTAATCGTCGTTGATCGAATGATTTGTTCGGCTTTGCGACGTCGTAAATAGTAATATAAGATGCTCATAATTAAAAGACAAATGAATATGACGCCAATAATTTGATACAAATATCTTTTATTTTGTGGATCACACTCAACAGTTGAAAACGGCATTGATGAGGCGATAGTAACAGAATTTCCATTACCTATAATAGTAATGTCTCGTGAACAATTAAAAGTCATCTAAAGATACAAAAAATAATTCATTATTAGTTTACTACTGATTTAACTTATGTCCATCGTTTATAAAAAGTGATACGCATTATTCCTCCATGATGTCGGTCATACTGAATCATCTGATATCGTATGATTGTCGTCTGTTCAGAATTTTCCTCGTCTGTTGAACATTCTTTCCGCGTGCGTGACCTTTCTTTCGCGTGAATTTGATTTTAGTCGGATGAGAGAAAGATTATGAGCGGAGGATGAACATATGCACAATGATCTGGATGATAGTGACTGTTCTATCTATCGCAATTTCTGAGGACATCGTCAGTATGAATAACAATAAATAACCAAATCGTATGATTTTTTTTCCTATTATAAGAAATTCCTAGTTATACAAATGTTTCTAAACAACAGACTTGATTGATATTACCGCCGTATGCGATTATTCCGATAGAATGTTTAAAACTGTCCATTTAGAACATAATTACTCAATGTTATCAACCAAAATATTACTTTGCATGTGAAAAATCGAACTTGTTGGAAGCATCATTGGAACCGTATTCTATATTCTCCAATGAGGTTTTAGATTTATGTAGGAGAAATATATCTCTAAGACTCGTATGTTGCATGATTATCGCGATTTTGCTCTGTAACTAAATGGTCATCATTGTCGCCTTGATTTTATTTTTGCATGATTTAATCAGCTTGAAAATTTTATTAATACATTTCTACGATATCTACGAAACAAAAATTTTCATCAATAAAAGACGGATCATTCTGTTCTGAATGTTGAATTAATTCTACGTACTACATTGAATACATTAGTTTCTATTAATAAAAATTGAATATATAGCAACTATTGAAAGAATAAAAAACCCTATCTAATAGACAAAAACTATTTGATATCTAAATGTGATTATTAGTTCCTGCTAATGAAATTAAGAGACCGAAACACTATGAAGAAAACAATATCATGTGCTTGGTAGTGCCCGGTGTAGTGCAGCAAACTCTATAGCGTTTGATATCGCTGATTTTGAAACATTTACATTTGTAGTTGAGACATCTGTACATCTTGCTATTTTCTGGCGAACGCAACAGTAGATAATTAGGACACAAACCATAAAAATTGTTCCAAATATTAAATAATATAACCTATCATTATGTAAAAAAAGTCATAAAAAATGAATTGCAAAAAATAGATGTTAAAAATAAAAATCATAACGCTACTTGGTGCATATTAGATCTNTCGCTGATTTTGAAACATTTACATTTGTAGTTGAGACATCTGTACATCTTGCTATTTTCTGGCGAACGCAACAGTAGATAATTAGGACACAAACCATAAAAATTGTTCCAAATATTAAATAATATAACCTATCATTATGTAAAAAAAGTCATAGAAAATGAATTGCAAAAAATAGATGTTAAAAATAAAAATCATAGTGCTACTTGATGCATATTAGATCTATTCTACCTGTCATTAAAGTGAGGACAATCATTGAGAATATTTATATTCAAAGAGCATATTGTGAACTTCAGTCATCGCTCATTACTCTCATTGTTTCATGCATTTTTTTATCGTCATTGGAGCTGTTATTACAGAGACTCGAATTTAATATTATATATATAAATAATCAGATAATTTAACTTTTATTTCATCAACTATTATGACGATGATAAAAATGTAAATGACTATAGAGGCGTGAGTACATGAAACTACTTTTGATCGTGTTTATCCTCGTCCGTATTCATCCCGGTTGTGACCTGTACTGGAAGTCTCTTATATGCACATTTATATAGATTGTGCTAATAAAATGTACAATTTCATTGTGTAACATTGGATGAAGACATTTATGAGTAACCTTTCTATTTATCTTCGAGCTTAAGATAGAAATGATGAAAAGAGAAACTATTTAATAATTAAAAAAAATATATATATCTTAGCATTAGATGAATAAGAGAAAGAGAATTGAAAAATACTGGAAAGATAACTTTGTTTTAAGTTTCGAAACGAAAAGTAAATATGAATCACATGATTTATAACTAGAGATGCAAAACGGCGACATTGAAATTTAATTCTTAATGAGCGTCGCAGCACGATGCAGAAGCGGTAGCTTTTACAAAAAGAAAGACAGTTTAGAAATTCATAATTTTATATGAAATGTTCATTTAAAAGAGTTCTAATTTGTAGAACTTAATGAATTAGATTTTTAGAGGAATTAGATCTTGGGAGTATGCATGTCAGAGATACGAGTCATCTTCTTAGAAAGATGCGGCATATTCCGCATCTCCGATCCACAGGATATATGACATAACCGCTGTCGAGAAAGAAGTTCAGGACGGGCCAATCTCGCCATATTAATCTTTTAAGTCTCTCCATCCAACAGAGTTTTACACGTAAATCATACTACAAACTTCATCGAAAGATCGAAATGAGACGGTTAAACCTAGTCTACCAAAACTCCGTTTACGACACTTTTTGATAATATTCATTAGTACCTGAAAAAAAGAAACATTCAAATCATATGCTGACTCACTTCCAGTATCGTGTTATCTTATCATATATTTACAAATGATAATGAATAAAATTTCTAAAAGTGGGAAAAAACCAAGTTCGAAATTTTTCTTTTGAGTACTATAAATATGACACATTTGTAAAATATCTAATATTTTTCTTTTATTCAAAAATCAAGATTATGCAGTATTTAATATTATTTATTATGAGCATCATATGTGCTCAGTGTAATATGTTAGATGTATATCCTGGCTATGGATGGGACGATCTAAGACATGTGGATATGAGTTCAGTATTTAACGTACTGAACTTCGAGAATACTCATCTTAATGAAAAATGTATACAAGTGTACCCTGTACGGGAACAAAAAATGGAACTAGTTTCGTCAATTATCGACGTATTCGACAGTTATGAGACAGATTACTCGTCTGATTTATTTGTTGGAGGTAGTGCCAGCTACATGGGTTTTAAAGTGAGCGGCTCGTATTCACAAAATTATCAATCGTCGAAAAAACTACAACGCGAAGAAAACACCATTATTCTTCGCAATCATATCGACTTTATAATGTCGGAAGTTTTAATGTCACCATCATGTGAATTACATGCTGAAGCCAAGAAAAGACTTGTAGATATAGCTAAGTACGAAACGAACAATCAGTCAGCAATGGCTACATATGCTGCCCAATTGTTTGTCAAAGAGTACGGCACGCATTACACTAATCGCTTACGCTTAGGTGGTTCAATAGCTCAGGATGATCATATACAAAGATCGACTTTTAAGACAAACGACAGTTCAAGCAAAAGCTATCAAGCAGCAGCTGAGGCATCGTTTCACTTTACATTTAGTTTGTCAGCAAAATTTGCTTCGAGTTCAAGGACTGATGACAGTTCTGTTCATGAAGCCCGAAAAGAGTTTACTCGAAAAGTGGTTCATTCCAGAGGCGGTCGTGTATCTGTATTAAACAGTTCGATCGAAACATGGCAAGCTTCGATTGAAGAAGCACCCGTTATTGTCCAACGTGGTATAGAAAATTTAACTTATATTGTTCAACCCTATCTACTTCCTGAACTTTCAAATAAAGAACTTGTACTGGTAAGAGAAAAATTGAATACAGCTATAGAAACATTCATTCAAATGAATTTACATTATGGATGTATGAATCGAAATTCTCCATCATTTAACTGGATTGCTAATGTAAATGATAGTTCATGTGAACTACCGAAAGAAAATTGGCAATTGGGTGGATTCATCCAAACATGCATAGAAGATCATCGTTTAAATCCGTAAGTGTTAAGTTATTTTTTTAAATTAATTTTAGATTGAACTAAATAAACTTAAAATAATATTTTCTTATCTCAATTTAGAAAATGTCAAAATTTTAAAATGTTGAATTATTATACAGAAACAGATCAGTGTCCAGTAGGTTTTATTCGACATCATTTGCATAAAAAAATCCAAAAAGAAAGTATTTATCGAAGAGAATGCCGAAAATGTCATTTTCTTTGGTTAGACACTTGTTGTACAAGTTATTTTGAGGGCATTGGTACAAGAACAATAGACTTATATGATTGTGTAAGCGAAAGTAAACAATTCAGATCAAAAATAGGCTCTTTGAAAGTTGCCAACAACTACGTTTTTGGAGGTTTCTTCACACCGAATAAACTTAATCCAATAACAGGTGTTTCAAAATGTCCAAATGAAGTTTTTAGCCAAGTATCTGTGAAAAACAGTGATATCTCGATTTGTATAAGTAAACAAGTTTCTAATATCGATAATTTGCCTCATTATGGTGGAATGTATTCATGTCAGAAAGGAAATGCCATGAATTCAAATAAGAAGCAATGTCCAATATCTTATAGTAGTCACGTGATTAGTGCATTAGACGGAGATTGTTTATTGTATATATGTTTAAAATTTGACGAAATTCCTGAAGTAAAACGATTACCATCGATCATTTTACCTCCATTTTTTACAATACCTCTGTTTAATGAAACATCAATGGATGTTTACACTGTAAATCTAACAGACATTGATCCAAATACAACAGCTATAGGCACTTCATCAAAGAGCAATGGAATTACTTATGAAGTATCAATTGCAGTTGGATGTATTGGATCAATAGTATTAATCTTGGTGATTTTATTTACAATTAAAAAGAAACAACAATGCAAAGCAAAAGACACTAAAAAAATATATGATAAGATATAAAAAAAGATTTAACATCAAAAAGAAAAGCGAATGTGTTTTAAAATATTTTTTCTTTCTTTTTAATAATAAAGAGATTCGATAAGAAGCTTTTGCTTTTCCCAAGAGGAAAGGAGCAGAATGCGGTCAGTTTGGATTCCAATGATTCTAATGCATTCTTTTTGATTCCGATAAATTCCAAAGGATTTCAATACACTCTAGTGGATTCTCTTAGATTCTATTGAATTCCCTGAGTTTTTATTGGATTTTAAGATTCTGGATCTCGCTATTTTCTCCTTGGGTAGAACATATTGGAATTTATCGTTCTTCTAATGGTAAAGAGTCTGTAAGAGAATAATCTCGTAATTTTCATTCTCTATCATCATTTAATGAATCGTAGAAAAACCTTCAATGTCCGATAACGTGGAAACCAGATCGAACTCTCAATATTTCACGATTGAAAAATAGATTTTTACTATTCTATTTTATAAAATTTTGACGATAAAACAAAACTAAAGAAAGTAATCATTGATGGAATAAATTATATAAAATATTTCAAGAATCTTTTGTTGAATTCATAGATTTTTTTTATATATGAAAATATTAATCGTGTTCATACAAGAAAAAAAAAGAAAACTAAAGATGAAATTAATAAATAACCCCTGTCAAGAAAGTCTTCGTACAAAAAGTTTTTCAGTTTTTTTATTGCAATGAATAATCCATGTTTATAACTTCTTTTCAAAAGAAAGACCAAATAGTGAACTACAAAAACTTACGAAGAACAAGCTTTATATGGTCCATGATCAGCAATTTTTCGTAATTGTCTTCGAATACCTAAAAACATCACTTGGACGACCTTGATATCGATTTCTTTGATCTTTTGTCGTATTCTTCGTTCCAGTTGATTGATATTCTTAGCCTCCCATCCTTTGTCATAGACCATAGTCTGTAAAATAGACCATAAACTTTCAATAGGTCTTGCTTGAGGACAGTTTTGAGGAATAAATTGTCTGTCAACAAATTCGACATTGTTTTGATCAAGATAACGAGTTACGGTGTTGCTGTAATGTGATGAAGCTAAATCGGGCCAAAATAAAACATTTTCTTTTAAATGATGTTCGTTAATGAATGGCATTAGACGTTTTATAACACATTCATTTAAATACGTTGATTCAACAACGGCTTGCCGTTGTTTAGCAAAAAACGGCGATGAAATTCCGTTTTCAGATATGGCAACCCATACGAGAACTTTTGGTTCATATTTATGTGTTCGTTTAAGTTTGACCTGAGATGGTGTTTCTTCTTTGTTCAATGAGTAAAATCCACGATTGATTGATACCGATTGATCAGAAAGAGTAAAATATTTTTCGTCGTCCATTATCATTTGAAAATCATTGTTCGACAGCAACCGATACAGTCGGCGCGCACGAGTTGGGACTTCCTGTAGTTGCTTGTCTGTATATTTTGGTGATCGACGTTTTTTGTAATATTTAATATTCATTTTTTGTAAACTTGTAAGAATGGTTTGATGACTGACAGCAAACTTTGACAATAGCGAACGTGAAGACACACCTGTCTTGAGATTGACAAGACGTTTCAGTTGAGTCAACTGTCTTTGACAGAGTTTCCTTGGTCGACCGGACCTTGGTTTGTCCTGACGAGGGAGGTACCGGAAGTGTCCCATCGCTTTAAGGCCCATACTTTGCTCACAAGTAGACCTCATTGGGACTAGCAAAACCCTAAAAGGATTCGTGCCCATGGTTCTGTAATCAAAAGTTATGACTATGTCATTATTCACATAGCAACGTACAAGAGAGTGATTTTTCATTTTTTTTCATTGCTCTTATGGTATATCGCCAATAATCTATCAAGATTAATAAAAGTTTTAAACTGATAGACTCTCATATCATACAGATACTTCATCTCTACACACTTTGAGTGAATCACATCTCCGCTTTCA